CCCCAGGCCCGGGCGGGCGCCCCCCGGGACCCTGCCTGGGGCCACAAGAGGCGGGCGCCCACCTGGTCTAGTGCAGAGATCGTGGACCTCATCAAAGTTTGGGGGAAGGCCTCCAATGTCCACGATCTCCACACTAGGCACAGGAATGCGACCGTCTAGGGCAGGATAGCTGCCAGCCTGGCCACCAAAGGCCACATGCGAACCCAGGAGCAGGTTTGCATGAAAATCAAGTTGGTCCAGTGAGACCCTCGACCCTGAGTCCTGAGCTTAGAACATAAGAACGGCCATACTGGGTCAGACCAAAGGTCCATCTAGCCCAGAAGCCTGTCTGCCGACAACGGCCACCACCAGGTACCCCGGAGGGGATGGACCAAAGACAATGACCAAGTGATTTGTCTTGTGCCATCCATCTCCAGCCTTCCACAAACAGAGGCCAGGGACACCGTTCCTACCCCCTGGCTAATAGCACTCCATGGACCCAACCTCCATGACATTTGGGTTGACTTGAAACAGTATTCTTCCCCAAGCCTTTCATTTCAGTTTGGTTTGTGTGTGTGTTTTTTTAAAACTTTGGCCAAATTTCAAAATGCAATATTGTTTTGAAATGAAAAAAAATCAAAACACAATATTCTGAAATGGTCAAAATGAAATGTTTTGCAACTCAAAGCTTTTTTTTTTGTTTTGACGTTTTTTTTTTATGATCATGAAAAGTTTAAAAAACATCATCCTTCTTTAATCTTGTCCCACAATGGTTCCTAAACCAAACAATCAATTGTTCATTCAGCTTTAATCTTCAAGGAAGCACATATATCAACCTGAGACAAAATTCTCTGATTCAGTGGATCGGAGTGACTTTTCACTGTCCCTACACACACAGTACTCTGACTCCATGCACAAGAAGAGACAGCAGAAAGCCTAGCTCATGTATTCAGACTAGTTTGGTTTTAAAGGCATAAACTACCTTATGCAACCATCAGATTAGCCTGGCTAAAGAGAACACATTTTGGCTTCCAAATCTGCATCCACCCTGATTTGTCACGGTCTATAAATAGAAAGAGCAAGGTCAGCCCCAGAGTTACTGTACTTTCTATCCAAGTTAACAGTTACCCAAACAAAAAGGTTAAACTGTCGACATTTTGTCCTCCTGTAGTCTGTGAGACTAAAGGTTCCCTTTGTCTTAACAACAGCTGCAACAAAATCCTTCAATCACTCAGTGAGCAAGCAATTTATGGCACTAGATAAGATATGAGGAAGAGAGAATTTAGCATTAACAGGCTTTAAAGAGTGGATTCTTCTAACAGATTCAAGTGAGGGCCCTCTCCAGCTACACACTATTGGTTGCGTCTACACTGGCATGATTTTCCACAAATGCTTTTAACGGAAAAGTTTTTCTGTTAAAAGCATGTGCGGAAAAGAGCGTCTAGATTGGCACGGACGCTTTTGCGCAAAAGCACTTTTTGCGGAAAAGCGTCCGGGCCAATCTAGACGCGGTTTTGTGCAAAAAAACCCTGATCGCCATTGGGGCTTTTTTGCGCAAAACAGTTTTTACCTGTTTACACTGGCCCTCTTGCGCAAAAGCATTTGTGCAAGAGGGCTTATCCCTGAGCGGGAGCATCATAATATTTGCGGAAGAACACTGACAATCTTACATGAGATCGTCAGTGTTCTTTCGCAAATTCAAGTGGCCAGGGTAGACAGCTGGCAAGTTTTTCCACAAAAGCAGCCGCTTTTGCGGAAACACTTGCCAGTCTAGACACAGCCCATCCAATATATAAATAAAGTATATGCAGTGAGAGGAGGCGTTAGATTAGTATATTAGGCAACAAGAGGCTCTCACTAATAAGTGATTGGTTAAATCTAACCCAGATGGTGACATCTTTTCAATTTTTGCTCAGAGAGTAGAGGCTGAATACCTATTGGACAAAGTTGTTTGCTCACAGGCCACCAATGGTCTCAAACCAGCTCTCAGGGGAAAGGAATTCAAACCACAAAAAACAACAGCCCAACCGGTTCAAATCGCCACTCCAGCACACACACAAAGCAGCAGCATGGGCCAGACTGCAGGGACTTTTCACCCGTTATCCTCCTGCTCAAGAAAGAGGTATATATAAGGAACACAGAGAAAGAGAAGGTTGTTACCAACATCATCCCTGTCTGTTGAAGGGCTGTCAAACCTGCCCTTTTCACCACTGCTAGGGATGGGGTTTTACAAAGACATCTATGAGAATTAGACACTCAACTCACAATGAAAGTCAATGGGATTTAGACACTAAGGATCTTTCACAGATCCCAGATTTAATTCGCAGTGATCTGCCATTCAGAATTTGCTTTAAATGGAACTTAGTTTGAACTCAGCCTCACCCAGATCAAAGTTTCAATGTCAGGGTGTAAAAGGAAGAAAGGGGGCTGGGCAATTTTCCTTCTGCTATTGACGCAAAGCTCAGCGAGGGTGTGTGCGCCAGCAGCAAACATGGGCATGCAGAAAACACTCTCACCACATGCTTGCAGCTCAGATAGCCATGTGATTTAGTTCATCCAAGCTGGGCAAGCATTATAGCACAGAGAAGAGAGTCACCAATTTGCTGCTGCTCCCCGCCCCACACACACACCCCTCGCAGACATGGCTGAGAAAAGAATTCTCTCAGATTCCAAACTAGCTCTATGAGGAATTAGAGAAAAACTGGTAGGAAGCAGAAGAGGAAAAGTGTATACAAGTTAAGACAGGAGTGTGGAAATAAATACAACATTTCACAAAGACTGGCCTGGAAATGATGTTGGTAAATCTAAGAGTCTGGATCCCATATTCTGCATATGGGAATGGGCCTGAATGGCAGGGGAAGTTTAGAGCTGGACAATGCAGCTCTAATTCTGTAATCAGGGATTGTACACTGGGGGAGGGGAGCAGATATACTGTCTCACTTCAAATCCTAGGCTGAAAGTAACCAAGTAAAATCCCAAAGAAATAACCAAAGTGCCAACACAAGAAAAGTTCCTGGCAGATGTAAGACTTAATATGCTATCCTACCCCTTTCTGAGGTGGGATCATTATGTGAAATAAGGCAGACCAGTGTTTCTTAAACTATGCTCCGCTGAACATTCTGTGAACAATTCACAGCTGTGCCACGACCGCTTTGTTTTTGTCTTTTTTCGTCTGACAATTTTTTTAAAAGAAAATTTTCATAGGTGTTCCGCATAAAAAATTATTATTGTTTGGTATTCAGTGGTCCCAAAAAGTTTAAGAAACATTGAGGTAGACTATATCAGTGTTTCTCAACCAATGGTACGAGTACCCTGTGGGGTATTCGAGAAGTCTGGGGGGGTACGTCAATACAACTGAAATTTGAAGAAAACTGAATTTGTTTTAAGTTTTATAGCGTTTTATTATTTTTGTACTTTTTACACCCAAAAATTTCATCGCCTGCCTGGCTACAATTAAGTTGTTTAAACAAATGTGTTGCAACAGTAGAAAAAAAAATGTGTATGTCTGAAAACTATAGGTACTGAGGGTACTTTTTTTTTTTTTTAAAAAGGGGTCCTTTATAAAAAAGGTTGAGAAACACTGGACTGTATATACCCTCCATCTCAAACATTTTTAGAAGGGAAGTTTAAGGAGCTGTGGTTTGATGGTCAAGCACAAGCACCTTCAGGGCATGACATAAGCTTTGAAGTGTCATCATGGCAAGGTATGAGCCCCAGGGTGCAAATAATGAGGCAGTAAATTTGAGTAATCCATTATCTGGCTGACTCACTCTGGCACAGTGATGCTATTTAAATACTGGACCAATCTGCAGCTAGCTAGGACTCCAGGGATATCACAAGGCTGCACTATATGGCTGCTTGGAACTTTGTGGAGGCACTGAAGCGAGAAGGGTCTTCTTGCTCTAAAAGCACAGGCCTTTACCACAAGAGACAGGACTATGCAGCACTTTGTTGGATGGGTTTAAGTTGGGGGCTATAGGTGATGACAAGTGGTGTTCCAAGAAAACCAACACTAGAACACCACTTGTTATCACCTATAGCCCCCAACTTAAACCCGTCCAAAACATTATCAATAAACTACAACTCAACAACCACAGGACATACCACACTAATACC